GAGCACCCAGATCTATAAAACAAACTCTATTAGACCTAAAGCAGGAAATAGACACTAATACCATATTAGCAGGGGACCTGAACACCCCACTGCCAATACTGGACAGATCATCTGGGCAAAGACTCAACAGAGAAACACAAGGTCTTAACAATAATCTAGACCAATTAGACTTGGCAGATATCTACACAACATTCCATCCAACAACCTCAGAATATTCATTCTTCTCATCAGCACATGGATCATTCTCCAGGATAGATCACATATTAGGACACAAATCAAGTCTCAACAAATTCAAAAAAAATGGAATTAACCCATGTATTTTCTCAGAACACAACGGTTTAAAACTAGAAATCAATAACAAACGAAACGTTTGAAACTATATAAATACATGGAAATTAAATAACATTCTACTTAACGACATATGGGTCCAAGAAGAAATCAAGNAGGGCCATCTGAGCAGTCACAGAGTAGGCAAACCAAATTGACAAATACAGCCATACCTTAGCTAGCCAGAGGGTCAAAACTGTGCACAGTGAAACTCCTTGCCAAAATGAGTAAACATCCAAAAAAAGATACCAGAAATGCAAAAAACCAAAAATGTACATCACCAAAAGTTAATAAAGCTCAAACTCTAGACCCTATAGAACAAGAAGCCCTTGAAATGAATGACAAGGAATTTCGAGTGATAATCCTAAAGAAACTGAATGAGATACAAGAAAACTCAGCTAGACAGCATGAAGAAATAAAGAAAAATATACAAAACCTGAGAGAGGAAGTGTACAAGGAAATCAATGTCCTAAAAAAAAATGTAGCAGAACTTACAAGACTGAAGAAGTTATTAAGTGCGTAATAACTTCGTATAGCATACATTATACGAAGTTATACGAAGACTGACAAGGAAGAATGGGCTCTGGTGCTACGGTTCATCTCCAACAAGAATATGGCACACTGGCCAGCACAAGCCATGCTAACACTGAGCCTTTAGCGCTGGGCACAGATTCGGATCTCTTCTCTGAAGCTAGCAAATCAAGTGAAATAACTGGGTTTTAAAAAAAAGTTTTAAAATGAAGCCCAAATAAGTTTAAAAACCATGCTCTTGACATATTTTCCCTTCAAAATTTACATAAGACACACTTTTTCACTCTAACAGCCCAGATTTTTTTCCTCACATAGCCCATCACGTAGCTGCAGATAGACTCTTCTGCCTCAAGATGTAAACATAAGGAAAAAAAAATTAACGGCATCTGCATAATATTCTCTCTACACACTGCTGTTGGATGAAAAATACAAAATTTAAAAAAAAGAAAGAAAGAAAGGTCCCATCTTAGATTCTCACAACCTCTTGTTCCGCGGTTCATGAATCCGACTCTGATGCTAAGGTGACAGTGTATGTAAGGAGATTTTTGTTTTCAGTGAAGGAGACCTGGGAAAAGATGGATTTCTCTCTTCTTCTTCAAGAGTTATCAGATGGTACATGCTCCTCAAAGCCCTCACTCTCTCGAACTAGAGCACGTTCCAGGATCACACGGCCTTCCTTATAACGCTGGCTGTCTTCAGTGGCAAACTCATAGATCCATCCCAGTTTGCTATTGCAGTTTTTGCAGCTCACATCTCGAACCATGTGGCGGCCAGTAAGCATGACCCGATCTTGAACTTCACTGTATTGCAGGTTAACTACCTAAGAAAGATAAAAACAAAATTGCAAAGGTACTTAAGTTACTTGCCAAATAAGTACACAATATTATGGTTGGTACAATAACAACAACTTCAGAAAAGGAAAGAGAGGTGTTACTTTAGTCAAACTTATAATACCCTTCCCAAGAACTAGTTTTAGAAGCTGCTGGGACAGGCAAACATCTGGAAATGGCAGTGCACTAGACATCTAAAGCAATCATGCATTACTGTACTGTACTAACCCAAATCTCGCCATATACCCTAGTGAGGTTTCTGTGTTGCAGTGAAGAAAGAGGCCTGGAATTGGAGTCATAAAATGTATGTTTGGCTCCAATTGTTATCATTTACTATTCAATGATGAGAACAAAAAAGGCATTCAAGGTAAAAGAACCTAGCAAACCATAGGTATTTCACACAAGTTTGTCAAAATTTGTTTCTAAAAATACATTTTATATACAGACAAACTGGTATAGAATAAGCCTACTACAGACCATACATTGCAACACAGTTTTCAAGTAAGTTCAAACACAATGAAGTGGGTTCTAAGACAATCTGTGAAGAATTTCCAATGATTCTGAATACTACACAACTCACTACACTTTACTTTTCTGTAAAGGCCCCGATAATAAATATTTTGGCTTTGAGAGCTATATGGTCTTTGTTGCAACTATTTAACTTTGACATTGTAGCATGAAAGCACTCACAGGCAATACATAAATGAACGAGCATGGCTGTTTTCCATTAAATCTTATTAAAAAAAAACTGGCAGCTGGCCTGCCATGGTGTGCCAATTCCTGCTCTGTACCTAATAAAGGCCAAAGGGTATACACTATCAACTCTCTAAGAGAGAAATCTGTTTCCACATGAACAGAGGAATGTCCACGGCGGAAGTTTATTTGACCTTCTAAGAACAGTATCTTAGCTCTGTTCCTTAGACTAAAAGATTTGGAAATTCAACTTGGCTCGTACATATTAGACTCCTGGAGACAGAATCATATCAACCAATTTCAAGGCAAGCCAGAAATTAGAGAGGCGGCAGACTGGACACAAACTTGCAAATCAGAAAATGCTCTTCCTGTTGGCAAACCTATGTAATAAACCAAATTATAACCAGAAGGATGACTGGTGAGCATGAATTAGAGCAAGAGAAGTTGGTTAGATGATCCTTATTCACACTCACTGTCAAGCTATAATATCTTAATGCAGCTGTCTTCCTATTATGTACAAAACAGTGACATGTAGGGGAAGGGAGGTCAGTGTCTCGGGCACCTTTTTCCATATGTAGTGCTGAAGTCACTACCAAATTCTAACACTGGACATTTCCTGAGTGGAGACTACCCTTCTTCTTATAATGCATTCTTTAAACTTTCAAGGTTAAAATCACATACTAGTAATGCTTTCATGAGGTCCCTTCAAAGACAAGCTAGTGGGCAATCATTTCTATAGATTTCAGCTCTAACTCTTCCTGTTATCTCCAAGCTCTGGTGAATTCTGGGTATTCTGGTGTTGCTTCAAATAGACCCAATGAAGCCACTTAGGAATGAAACTGTTGTTCTCACCAACCTTATTAAAAAGAAATGCTCTGCCAGTGGCGCCTGTGAACCGAGTGGAGATGAGTTCTGATCGGTTGGTCAGGATCGTATCACAGTTTGCACAAGAAAACAGACGGGTACCACCAATATGATCAAGGAAAATTCTGCCCATTTTTATAGCTGAAGTTCTAAAAACCTAGGAGCAAATGGAAAAGAGTAAGAAATGCATTTTAATAAAAAACCATTTGTTAGAACCTATTTCTCTCGAACTAGAGCACGTTCCAGGATCACACGGCCTTCCTTATAACGCTGGCTGTCTTCAGTGGCAAACTCATAGATCCATCCCAGTTTGCTATTGCAGTTTTTGCAGCTCACATCTCGAACCATGTGGCGGCCAGTAAGCATGACCCGATCTTGAACTTCACTGTATTGCAGGTTAACTACCTAAGAAAGATAAAAACAAAATTGCAAAGGTACTTACCTAGAGGAATGGGCCCTATATTAAAGGAGTGGCATATGCAGAGGTAGGGCAACCCTAGGCAGGGTCAAGGAGGAAGGAAGCAAATCCTGAAAACAAAAGGATGCTGCAGAGTCTGCCCCAGCATTCCAGGAACCCGACTTCGAAACTTACTTCTCCTGAAACTTCAGGCTGTATCTCAGAAGAAATATGAGTCTTTCTTCCCAGACATTTGCTTTATAATCGAATGGTTTAAAACCTATAAATCAGGGTCAGCATGGGAGTAGGGGGTACACTTAGGGAAAATCGTTTTCTAGCATGACGGAATTATCTTAAATAATGAATAAGGAGCCATTGGCTGTAGAGCTTTTATTGTACCGCAGCAATATGCTGAGCTACATATGTTAATAACAAAACTAACAAAAATAAAGACTGTTCTTGGCCCTGCTTCGTCCACCAATGGGGAAATGAAATCATGAATGTGCTTTATAGGTGGTTGGCTAGTTTCCATCAGGTAGAATGCCAAACTTAAAAATAAGAAACCGAATTTTGAAGTATATGTCATAGAAGTTCTTCAATAAATTTCTCCTTTTACAAAACTGTAGTCTGTCAAATCTTGGTATTTGCACAGGCACTCGGTGTTTAACTATTTTCCCTTGTAAAATATTGGCAAATTCCAAATTTAAAATTACTCTGCTGGGTTTTACCACTGGGAATAAAAGAAGCCCTCTTGTGGTCAGATCAAAAAATGGAAACTGCATTTGTGCAATTAAAATTTCAGGGCTTAGTTTAAACTAGAACATTTTAAGCCTCAAATCTGATTTCTACTAACGTTTTACCATTAGAGAAAGGATAACACAAATTAAAAAAGCAGGATTTTCTACTCTGAAAGAACTAGGTGCCTACAAAGAAACAGATTAATTGTAATCTGTAGTTTTAATGAAAGCTGAGAAACAATCACATTATGTAGGTTTTGTAACTGTTCCCTTCCTGACATGACTTTATTGTGGGATTTTGAAATTAGGTGTCGCATCATCATCTGCTGATCAGTAGACAACGGGGCTCATTAATGCCATAAAATACACTTTGTGGATTTGAAAGGCAGCGAACTCCTGCAGCTGGAGCACAGGGATCTAGAATCAGCAGAACTGGTTTGGTTTGCACAGAATCAATCATTTCTCTCCCTTGTGCCCCTGCATTAATTTCTGGATTTAAAAAGTGAGGGGGAGGGGAGAGAGGGAGGAGGGAGGGAGGTGTCGGTGATGGGCCATAATAATCATAACCGGGGGGGGCTGGGAAGAAGATATAACAACTATACTTTTTTGAAGTTGTTACAACAAGCAAACGGAAAGAACAGTCTTGGGGGGGAGGGGAGAGATGGAGGAGGGAGGGAGGTGTGGGTGATGGGCCATAATAATCATATACATTGTAGATTGACAAAATAAAAATTTAACGAAAAAAAAATAAAAATAAAAGTAAATAAAAAAATAAAAAATAAAAAAACCATAGTAAGAACTAAAAATCCTTATTAATTATGAAATATTAAATATATCTGTATATGTAAATATAAAAGCATATTTTATGTTTTTGTATGGGATCCTCTTTTTAGTTTGTCCATGATTTTTAAAAATAAATAAAACAATCATTATATAACTGTAACTGGGACACAATTTAGAAAGATGTGATTTGTGATAACAACAGCATAAAAGGAGAATGGAGTTGGATGGAAGTAGAGTTAATGCATATAATTTAAAGATAATTTACTATTACTTAAAACTAGATTGCCATAAATTTAGGATGTAAACAATAATCCTCATGATAACTACTAAAAAAATTAAAATATGCAAAGAAAGAAATCAAGAATGAATCTAAATAGATTACTAGAATAATCTGATCGAATAAAAAGTAAAGCAATATTGGAAAATTAAAAAGCACAATTATGGGAGGCACATAGAAAGAAACAAAATTATAGCTCAAATAAGTTTTTCAATATAACTATTTAAACTGTACATGGCTTAAAATTACCATTTAAAATGCACAACTTGAGAGAATAGATTTAAAAATTAACTATGTACTGTGTATACAAGACTAACTTCATATCCGAAGATGCAAAAAGTTAAAGGTGAAAAAATGGAAGAAATTTTTTTCACCTTGTGCTCTTTTTCTCTTAGAGCACAAGAGAACTGGGATGGCTATACTAATATCAAACAGAGAGTTGTTAAGCAAAAACTGTTAAAGGAAGCAAAAACATTTTATATTGGAAAACAGGTAATTAATCCAGAAGATATAACATTATAAATCTATATGCATCAATCAAGAGAGCCCAGAAATATATAAAGCAAATAATGCACAGTACTGACAGAAGAAGTAGACCTGTAGAAAAATAGTGGGATACTTGAATACCCAATTTTTAATAAAGAATAGACTAGACAAAATATCAAGAAGGAAATACAAGATTTGAACAATACTAAATATCAACTGTACCTCTAATCAACAACATAACTTTACAACCTAGAAACTAACAAACAAAACAGCAATCTAGACACAAAACCACCAGAATGTATAAGATATTTTTTAAACAGGAGAACAGCATTAGAACAATCAGTGACACCAAATACTGGTCCTTTGAAAAGATCGAAAACATTGACAAACAGCTAAACTGACTAAATGAAAAAGAGGAGACAACAACAAATAAATCAAAAATGAAAGCAGGGACATTACTCCTGATTTTAGGAACTAAAAGCTATTATAAGTTCTAATATAATAATAATATAATCCTACTATAAAAGAATACTATAAACAATTCTATATCAACAAAGTACATAATCTAGATAAATGAAAAGCTTCCTATGAACAAAACATTACCAAAACTGATGCAAGCTAAAATACAAAATGTGAACACACCTACAAGTAAAGAATTAGTAAACAAAAACTCCAAAAAAAAAAAAAAGAAGAAGAAGAAAAAGAAAGGTCCAGAACAAGATGACTACACTGTTGAAATTCACCAAAAAATTTAAAAAGAAATAAAACTATTTCTTACTCAAATTTTTCGAAAATATAGAAGAGGAAAAAATACTTGCACATATTCATATTATGACAGGATATTTTGTATGTTCTAATTTTTTTGTAATTTTTTCTGTCGGACTGAAGTGTGCATCTGTTACATGTCTGGTAGATTATTTTTATCTGAAGAACAGGGTCAATGCATTCTAATTGCTTAACAATTTAATTATATATTTTCCACAATGTTTAGTGCAGTTTTATGTACCCTATTGATACTTAAAATGCTTGTCAAGCATTACTGGCCTGACCATTGAAACATTCCTAGTAAATACAGAACTATTCAATAAACTACCTAATGTTCAAGGAACCAAAGGACTGAGCTGTTACTAAAATCTTACCTGCTCCATTTTTATTAGAAAGCAATCAATAAAGTCTCGAGGATTGTTAACGTCCAAAGATTCTTGGTGTTCTTTTATTTTCTCCACCATATAACTTTTTATATCAGCAATATTTTTAAATAATGTCTTATGAATCCCTGGGAAATAATCGAAGAGAAAAGGAAGAGTATTGCAGATCTGAAAAAGAAAACAATAATTTATTAAATAAGAAACATACAATGAAGATATATGCCATATACCAAGCCCTACTTAGAAATTATAGCTATAAATTTGAAAGCAGGTGCCGGCACGCAACCCAGCAGGTAGGCCTCACCGCTACCACCCAACTCCAACCCCAGCCTGGCCGACTGCACACGGATCAGGGAGGTGCACAGCTGGAGAAGCGGGAGATCCACAGAGACCACACCCTGTAGTGCCACCACACAACCCAGCAGGTAGGCCTTGCCCCTGCTGCCCAACTCTATCCCCAGCTCGGCCAGCTGACTGCATGCTGACCAGAGAGGAACCTCTACGGAAAGGCCCAAGACCCAAGGTGAGCACTCACCCAAGGCACTAGTAGCCAACCGAGCAGACACTGAGACAGCCATACCAAATTGACAGCCCCAGCAGCATCCTACCCAGACAATCATGCCAAAGCAGTGGACTGTGAAATCCCCTGCCATAATGACTAAACATCAAAGGAAAGATACCAGAAATATGAAAAATCAAGAAAGTACACCACCAAAGGGTAATAACTCTCAAGCTCTAGATCCTATAGAACAAGAAGCCCTTGAAATGTCTGACAAGGAATTTCGAGTGATAATTCTAAGGAAACTAAATGAGATTCAAGAAAACTCAGCTAGAAAACATGATGAAACAAGGAAAACTGTACAGGACCTGAAAGAAGAAATGAATAAGGAAATCAATGCCCTGAAAAAGAATGTAGCAGAGCTTGCTGAGCTGAAGAATTCATTCAACGAAATAAAAAGCACAACAGAGAGTTTAATCAGCAGGCTTGCAGAAGTAGAAGAGAGAACTTCTGAACTTGAAGATGGGCTGTTTGAAATAACACAGGCAGACAAAAAA